AATTTCTCTCTTGAATTTGCAACTAATTCTGTATAATCCTGGCCAAATATCTGGCCCTTACCTTTACACTTCCCCTACTACCAAAACGGCAAGTGCCATGTTGCCACTTTTAAAAGGGTTAAATGCAACTAATCCTCAACATCAAGGTCTTTTGAACAATTTCAGAAGTGTATAGAGAATGGCATCATAACATACGAATAACATCCAACAGACTGTTTTGCAAGAAGTTAAATTTCACTAATAAGCTGAAGATGTGGACAATTTCGGTCTTCAACAGACATAGCTTTAAAACAAAAAAGTAGATTCTGAATTTAAAAAAATAAACTGCCAATTAGAAAAAAGTTAAAGGTTTTTCTGGGCAGGGAAGGGTCTGTGAAGGCATTTATTGCCTTGCCCAGCCCCTTTCTATCACTCCAACATGGGTCTATCAAGACAGGAGCCTGAGCAAAGGGTCCCTTGGTCTCCCTTAGAAACACCCCAATCCCTTGACCTCGCATGTCAAAACATGGTGCGCAAGCTGGGCTTGCTTCGGATGAGCCCAATTCTACAGAAGCGACTCATCATTCTGTATCATACAAACACTCTTAAAAAGATAATAAAGAAAAAAAAATAATTCAAAGAAATTTGAAAAATTATTTGAAGAAATAATTCAAAGAAATAATTCCAGAAACTGCATTCAGAAGCAGCAGAAACGCAGGCACCCTGTATTAACAGAGCTAATAATGAGGTACCATACTAGAAGAGAAAAAGACCCTTGCTATCTCAAGACTTTGCCGACTCCGTCAGCCACCAAAGACACACTGCAACACACTTTCAATACAACTTTTGCCTGCAACTTCTACCTTTGCCTGCTTAGTGAAACAACATCTACCGGTGCTCCAAGACTGATTTCACCTCCCCATGTCAATCACTGACAGCAACGGCACATCATTGGTGCTAGTTACAGCTCTGGCACCAGCAGCCAACCACGCTTTTCAGGTAGGTTTGGTACCAGATTCACCACTGAAAACAGATTCACAGTTGAAAGTGCAGTTTCAGTCTAGAAACATGCAAAAAGGTACACCTCCAGCTCTTCTCCTTGCTTTCCCACTTCAATGGAAGGTACTGCTCACACCAGTATCACACCTTCTCTGCGAGGGCAGCCCCGTAGACTGCCAAGTCATGGTGTGAGGCAGCAGATTTCCCACAAAAACCAGCAGAAACATGGTCTGAGCTTCAGCAAAACTTCAAAGTCACTGGGCAGGGACTACATAGCTGAAGTAAATAGTGATGGCCACTCTCCTGACAACTGCTACACCAACTTATAGCCTCCACAGCAGTGGAAAATCCATACGCCAATCATGTGTAAAACCCCAGTTTTCTTATCCCAAAAGGAGGAAATACAGTTGTTGTGTAAAAGGGGAATGCTGATGCACCTCATAGCTATAGGTTTGCATACTGACCACAAAGGCAAGACCAGTATTTCAGACCAGCCAGAAGAACGAGGAAGGAGCACATTGCCAGAGCTGTCAAGAGCCCCGCTGTTCCCTAACAGCCCCAGGATTCCAGTAGGCACTGCCATCTCCAGAGACCTCCTCCGGACTGTATTAACTACCTGCCATATTTTTGCAATTCAGCCTCTGCTGAAATTCATGGCCAAGATTATGTCACCCTAGCCTGCCTCAACCCCAAAGTAGATGGAAGCAGCACATTTGCCATATAGGAATTAGCAGGAGGATACAGAAACCTTTACATGTAACAGAAATTTGGGATATTTCCTCAACAGCCTTCAACCAGAAGCCTGCATTTCCTCCGAAAGCTATGTGATGTGAGCAAGGGAAAAACCCCACTTAGCAGAAGTGGTTTGTGCAGTGAAACCAAGCCGCCTCTGCTCCAACTTACAGCCACGTGTAAAGACGAATTTCTCTGCTATAATGCTCACAAAAAGAGGAACTCGGAGTCAAGAACAGCATAACCATGCAGAGACCTCTCCAGAGCCTGCACAAAGCGTTGCACAAACACACACCCTAAGGCAGGTCGGAAAGGACAGGCAGAGTATCACCCCCTTCCTTCAGAAATCCCAGAACCAAAAGAAGGTTTCCTCAAAACTTAAAATACTCTGACTCGGAACAACGCCACGGTACTCCCTCGGAACTGTGGCCTGGATGCCTTTTGCTGCCACCACCACCGCACAGGGCAGCAATGACATTGCCTGGTCCTTCCCCGTGGAACAGCTTCTCTCAGGAAGATCCCAGTCCCCAGAAGAGGCAGGAGCACAGGGCACAAATAAAGGAAAGTCTCCATGAGGCTTCTGGACTATTTTAAGGCGCAAATCAGAACATAAACCCCTTACTTTTCTAGCAAATTCTGCAAAATGTTCTTCAACAGTATTTTCCCTCTTTAGGCCAGACAGCCAGGATATTCAAATCCAGCGTGCCTTGAACAAATCAGAAATCAAGGTCAGCTAGAAAATGAGCACAGTAACTTTCTGTCATCAAAACTGGGCTTTTAATAAGTTATTAACACCATGTTCCCATCCTGCAAGAAGCTATTACTTTTTGGACCACACAGGATAACCCTGGGATCGTGGAGTTCAGCCCAAGGATGGGAAACCAGCCTTCTGCTTTTCTATCAAAATAGCATCATCATCCCAGAATATATTTAGGGAAGGCAGGAGCAGAGTTAGCCACGTGCTTTCTGCTCTCAAGTGCAGAAGAGGGAAGGACACTGAAGAGAAAGCTCATCAGTCACAGAACGGATAAAAACTACCCTTGATCAGCTGCCATCTGCTAATATGTACCAGAGGACTGGGGTGGAGCTGTTTTGTTTCAGGCTCAGTGTGGCGAGCATTCTGTGCACCTCAAGGTGCTGACAAGCCCAACTTGTCACTAAAGCCAGATCCAAATAGTTTCATATTAATCCTCCAGTGATGGTTTCGATTCTCCAGGCTACTTCTAATAGGATTTCTCCAGATTTTCCCAGATTGTTTGCCTTCCCAGCTACAGCCCAGAGAATATTACCCCGTCTGATTCTCCAAACAGTTAATGTTATTAATTATTGACCAAGAAAACTGAACAAATAGCTTCACCCCAGAGCCCAGGCTACAGCTCAGGCCCCTTTGATCAATTCCTAAATCCTGCTTCCAGGAGATGAGACACCAGCAAGCCTCAAAACTACGGGGCAGCAAATCCACCATCTGGAGTTGTGCTACTAGCTCTTCCAACGCCAAGAAAGGCACTGCACCACATTCTGTGTGGAGGGCTGTCACAGGCTTTCAGACAAACCAGTTCCTGGTGAAAACTGGCCAGGAGCAGCCAACAACAGAAGCTCCTCTGAGCCGCTTCTGCACTATACAGAGACACAACAGGGACAGACGGTTCACTAGAGACACAAATTAAAACCATGACTGGAACGAGATCTCTTTCAGAACACAGGCACACCTCTCTGCCACCCTGAAATCCTTTCAGGAAGTCAGATAATTCTTTATTTGCTATCCCAGACAACGTGTCAAATGGCTGCATTCCAACAGCCGATACTCCACTCAGAGAGCTTGGGAAAAAGTTACCTCGGCACAGAAATCCCACAGAAAGGCTGGTGCTTGTGTCAGGAGGCAGCACACAAAGTACATCCTTGGTTTGGGCTGACATTCCAGTCTTATCAATGTCTCTGATCTAAACTCTCTGCTAAGCACTTTGTCTGAAGCCTTGTCTGAAACGAACAACAGCATCATTTAACTCACCAGCTCCCAGGGGCCAGAAACACCAGTTACCTCTGCCACTCACATTCCAAATACTCCAGCTATTATCACTGAAATGGCAGACCCCACATATCCGTGCCTTCCCAGTTTCAGCAGTGAGGAGACCAGAGTGCAGACCTCTATAAATCCCAGGCCTGAAACTCAAGCCCCCTGGAAAAGAAGGTTAGTAACACATTTGCCAACGAAAGCACTTCCCAAAAACCTACAAGACAAAATGGTCCAAAATGCTGAATATCTGGCCGTCAACGGAGGCACACAGGAGACAAAGGACAACAGAGTTTTGAGTTTGCCAGTACCAGGTTGTTCCCCCAAGAGATGCAGCATGAGAGGTCAGGAGAAAGCAAGCTCATTCTAGCAGACAGCCCAGAAAAGACTGATGTCAGGACAATTCTTACCCAGGTAAGTGCCTGAGAAGCTTCCCTCTGTGGTCACACCCTGCTGCAGAACAACCTTTAATCAGGAGGACTCCAGCTTGTGCCTCTGCTTCACTGCAAATTCACACGTGGGGCAGGGAGCAAGGCACAGAGAAATGACAGTAGGAGGGGTAGGAGATGACTACAGATAATCCAGGAGGAAGTGTGAACCAAGTCACAGCAGGTTGAAGCAGCGGGTTTTTTAGAACAAGAAACTGAGATTACCCTTCCCTCAGACCTACCACAGCAACCTAAAAACTACCCCCAGAACTCTTCTTTATCGATGAGGGTTATTGTAATTAAAATAATATGGATAAGACAACCACAGAAAGAAAATCTGAATGATTGTGACCCTGAATGATTTTATGAATGTCTTTAGTTGCAGTGGGCCATGGGCCTATTCCCCCTATTTCAGATTTCTGGAAATGTGGTTTCTGGACAGGATGGCAAGCTCTGGCCATTCATATGCAAGGGAGTTACCAGACCTACTGTGGATCAGCTGAGGACCTTGCAGCTGTACTGCATAACTAGCTAATTTCTGTGGCTTTATCATGCAAAAACTACATAAGGATATAGTCAAGGGCCACATCTATAAGTTCCTCAAAAGCAACCAAGTCCTGCTGATGGTATGAACAAGACAGTAAGAGCCAAGAAAGAACGCAAGTTTAACCAAGGTCAACGGAAAATTACATGCATTGCAAACGTTCAAGAAGTTTGGTGCATCTTTACGATGCCAGCTGTCACGGCCACTGGGGCCTGGCACAGAGCAGATGCCCCCACGACCCCATTCGAGAGACCCTTCCTCAGCCCAGCTGCAGAGACATCAAAGGAGAAAACAGAAAGACCGTTACCTGCTACTTCCACAATGTGGTGCCTGGCAATATCATAGTAGGGATCATCCCACTGCAGGTGAGTGACGGGCTCAGGGGAGCCTTTGGAGTCCTCTGCACAAAACACAAGGAACAAGAATTAGAAGGGATCTGGAGCACCTTGGTGAGGGGTAGAATAGAGATAGAGGGATGAGGAAAAAATAGCTCTTCAACATGGGAGGGACTAATGTATGCACCTCTGCACCTCGGAAACCCACCTGTGAAATTCTGAGTGGGTAAGAGCAGCAGTGATCTTGGAAGAGACCCGTCAGTCCTATGAGGTCCATCCGTGTCCCTCAGGATGTACACTCTCCCAAACAGGACTGTTCAGATGTGTCACAAACATTCACAAAGTCCAAAACCCAAGTGCCAAGGGCACCATCATAGCTTTTTAGAGCAGGAGGATCTTAACATCATGCCTTGATGGATGGCTGTCCCACATGCCCTTGAGCTCATTCCCCTGACCTCTTTGGGCAGCAGCCCATAGCACGGGATTTCACAGCAACACAGGATTTCAGAGCAACAGCTCAGATCTCCAGCCCCACCTCGCACAGGTTCAAGACCCCTCCACGCAAGAAGGCCAAGCTACCCTGCAAGAGACCGTAACAGAGGACAACCGAGGACTTCCAGCATGTCTGTATTGTGAGCACCAAAGCGCAGCCAGCCACAGGACTGAGAACAGCATTTTTACATCAGCTGGCTCTGAGCTTTTTAGTGCTGTTCAGTGGTAGGGCTAATTCACTGGATGTGGTGCAAGGTTAATGTGTCTATAAAGCTTTCAGATGGAGCTGGGGCTCTGTAAATACACCCACAATGCTGTAGGATAAGCAATTCCTTTTTGGCCAAAACCCAGACCCCAAACAAGCAGGGTGCTTACCCGATTTGGGAAAAGCAGGTGCTTCATCTGCTGGCCAGCTCTTATCATCTATGGAGGCCAGTTTGAGCTGGCTGAGGGACTGGTTGGTATCATCCAAGTTCAGGTCATCCTGAAGCTCCGAGAGCGGGTCTGTAGCCATGGTCCCCAAATGCTGCAGGTTATTTTGCAGCGCCTAGAACGAGGGCTGCAGAGATTGCTAGGGGAGACACAGAGACCGCAAGATTACCTCCTCATAGAAACTCTTCTTCTTCCCCAAATCCTTCCTTTTCTTATCCAGAGATCATACTTTCCCTTGCCCTTAACACAGGCAGGAACTCCTCCTTCAAGCCAGGAACACGAACATACGTCAGATACGTGTCAGATCCTTTTGTGCCAACTGCTATCAAAAGGCCATCAGGAGCCTCTACCAACCCTCCCAGCGAGACTCTGCTTGACCACAGCTCTGTCCAGAGCAGTTCCTCTCCTGAAACAGGAGCAGCAGCAAGACGCTGAGGAAGGCGACAGGCTACACCAGCCCCTGCCTGATACACGCACCGCACCAGCTCTGAGCTCCCCGTCCCTCCGAAGGGCTGGCACAAAGCCCAGTTGTTTCCACAGTTGGCCCAGTGCTGGAAGCTTTCCCAGGAATCAGCTCCCCATAAGGGAGGGCCAGAGCTCTCAACAACAGTGAAGTGGGTGCTTCAGCGTGCTGGGATCTGCACACAGAAGTGAACAGCTTCTTAGAACAGCATTTTGTAGGCCGAGCTAGTAACACGGGGGGAACAGTACACACAAACCTTCGTCTCCCTTCAGCATCCTCCTGTGTGACAGCAAGGAACCATCTCTTGAACTTAAAGCCATATTGCTAGAATGAGTATTTTTCACCAAGCATGCCATAATACTCAAGAGACCAAGGAATTAAGAAGGTCCGAGGAACAAACAGCTCAGTGCGTTTGCTCTCGCTTCCAAGTATTTCTCACTCTCTCCCGGAGCAGAAGATAGATCAAACCCTGGGCTGAGCTAGCACAGCACCTCCGAAAGGGTACCAGTTCTGAGGGATGGCCCCCTAGGAAACAACTGTTATCCTCTAATGCCAGTGCCTTGGAAATAAGCAAGGAAACATTGGAAAGGACAAGAACATAGATCTGGATTGCTCACATAGACCACACAGATAACAGGCAGCAAGCCAAGAGGAACTGTATCAAAACAGAATGACACCTTCTATCAGCAATCCTCTGTAATCCTGTTTCTTGGACAGGCTTGTGTTTGTTCTGCATTACAAGGAGAGCAAAGGGTTCAAAGATGATCTGAGGAGGCACAACGCCTTTGTCTGGAAAGATTATATTCACAGTAAAGTTATTTCCATTAGCAGAATGGAGGGGGGCAACTCTGGTTTGCATCTTCCGTCCCTAGAACCTGAATGTGCATATTTATCCAGAAAAGATGATGGAACAGCTACTTGGATGTGAGCACAGAGGACAAAAACTGTGAGAGACTGAGCACTGGAAGGCGTCAAGTCCATGCTTAGGGCAACACTCACGACAAAGCTTGGGAATGCGTTTTGAGAGTAGAGGTGTCATGGTTTAGGCCCAGCCAGCAACTCAGCACCACAGAGCCGCTCGCTCACTCCTCCCTGCAGTAGGATGGGGAGGAGAAAATATAAGGAAAGGCTCGTGGGTTGAGACAAGGACAGGGAGGGATCACTCACCAGTTATGGTCAGGGGCAAAACAAACTCCACTTGGGGAAAAATCAATTTACTTTGTTACCAATCAAATTTGTTTGTGATTTGTTACTACCTACTGGAGTAGGATAATGAAAATAAAACCAAATCTTAAAAACACCTTCCCCTCACCCCTCCCTTCTTCCTGAGCTTAACTTTGCTCCCCATTTCTCTACCTCCTCCCTGCCAGCAGTGCAGCGGGACAGGGAATGGGGGTTGTGGTCAGTTCATCACATATTGTCTCTCCTGCTCCTTCCTCCTCAGGAGAGGACTCCTCACACTCAGCCCCTACCCCAGCATGGGGTCCTTCCCACGGGAGAGTCCTCCATGAACCTTTCTGATGCGAGTCCTTCCCAGGGGCTGCAGTTCTTCACAAGCTGCTCCAGCGTGGGGCCCTTCCG